GGAAGGGGGAGGGGGGAGGGGAGGGTGCCGTCGAGAAGAGCTGGAGGACCGATTCGTATTCGCCGGTGCGTGCGACGAGATCGAGACAGGGCACGTTTCGAGCCCGCAATTACGATATCTACGGGAATCTGGCGTGTCATTATTAGAACCGATGAAATGCAAGAGGAAGAGAAGAGAAGAAGAGAAAGAAGGTAGCGAGGGGTCGACGGGAACGTGGAGGAACGTGGCCCCACGTGGCCCCGAGGCGCCACAAAGTGAAGCTTGACTCGATTTCGTTCCGACGAACCGAATCGTCGTCGGTGGAAAATTCATCGGTGGCTCTTTAATCGGGCCAGCTTCGCTGACTTCCGCCGGGGACGCGTTAAAAGCCTGATATTCAACCCATAATTGCAGACATTGCCGCGCGATCCGCCCGGAAATCAAAGGAAACCGGGGAATCTCTTTCATTGCTCCACGGAGTTTCTGCGCGACGATCTTCGACGCCCTCGCATCGATGACGCGATTATTTTCTTCGGTCTGGGAAAATTCCTTTTCCCGAGCCGTTCCTTTTCCCGACCCGTCGAATTTTCCGAAAGCAAAAGAAATCCGCGAAACGCCGGAAAAACCGCGAGAAACCGATTGCTGAAAAACTGCGAATCGTTTTCCGTTCTTAATTCCGACCGATAAATTGCGTCGATTCTCCGAAGCTTCTGTAATTATTTATATGTATTTATATTTATTTATATTTATTTATTATATATATTTATATATTTTACGAGAAAAAAGTGTCGATCGGAGAGATATTTTTAGGAAAAGAGAAATAAGAAGAAAAATAGAAGGTCGACGTCGAAGTTTTCTGTCTTCCCTGTCTCTCAAAATTCTTATATCCTCCGTTTGTTGTTTTAACTTAACAAAGACTTCGAGGCAGAAATCGAATGAAAATTCAAGTACATGCGTAAGTAAGTACAGTGGCCCGCAAAAGTGTTGGTACGCCTTTTAAAACGCAATAATTATTTTTAAAACTGGACTGAGTGACCTGAATTTTTTTTTATGATACTAGTGTGGGACTAGTTTACTAAATGATGACCAAAATGCCATTTTTTTCTTTTCAATTTTGCTATTACTTGGAGCGACGAAGAAATAAAATACCCTCGTTTTTGAACCTTTTTATCTGAGCCTATAACGAAAATTTGAAAAATGTCTTTCACAGATCTTGGGGCATGTCCTTATATGTATGTTGCAAAATTTTATCGAAATCGGTTGACGTTGTTACGAGTTGCAATAAATTAAAGATGGCAAAAATCTCAGTTTTATTTAAATCTTCCTATTTTTTAAAATCTTTCTTTGGGTTAACCAATTTCGGTCAAATTTTCAGCACACATATAAGTTACCAAAATCGACAAATCTATTTTTCAAATTTTCGTTATAGGCTCAGATAAAAAAAATTAAAAAAAAATAACTGTTTCTTTTCATCCTAACTAATAGCAAAATTAAGAAAAGAAAGGCATTTTAGCCATCGTCTAGTAGAGTACCTCCTCCATAGTCCCTCAATCGCCTAAAAAAAAAATTCATGTCACTTAGTTCAGTTTGAAAGAAGTTATAACATTTTAAAAGGTATACGAACGCACTTTTGCGCGCCACTGTACACGGAACGCAGGCTTCAAAATGAACACCGGCGGTCCGATTTTTATTTACCACCGATCTAGCCGCATCATCGTTTGTTCGTAGACTGCCACAGAATCTCAGGGACAATATTTTTTGCTCAGACAGTGACGCGATGATCCTCCAGGCGACGCGGTAGCTGCCGGTCGCCATCTTGAATTAGTTGAAGTTCTGCGTGGGACACTCTTCTATATGCGACATTGATATTCTCGTTTCCGATTCGAACACGCCGAAGGACCCGGCCACGCAAAGAAATAAGGAATATTCAGAATCTTATCTCGCACAGCAAACACTTAACGAGCGAGACGCCTGTACGATTCGCTTCTGCCTCCGTGCGCCGTCGGTCCCCGTTAAACGCTGACGAAACTCAAATAAAATTCCGCTCGGCCGCGGATAAACGATCGCGGAGAATATAGAATAACAAAATCGATGGAAAAAGAATTTAGAGGGCGAGAGCGAGAGAGAGGGAAAGAGAGAGAGGGAGGGAGAGAGAGAGAGAGAGAGAGAGAGAGAGAGCGAGAGTGAGAGAGCGCGAGAGGGAGAGCGCGCGCGAGAGAGAGAGAGCGAGAGAGAGCGCGAGGGAGAGAGAGAGCGCGAGAGAGAGCGAGAGTGGATGAGTGCGAGAGAGAGCGAGAGTGGGAGAGTGCGAGAGAGAGAGAGAGAGCGCGAGAGAGAGAGCGCGAGAAAGAGAGCGCGAGGGAGAGAGAGAGAGCGCGAGATAGAGAAAGATGTAGAGAGAGAGAGAGAGAGGAGAAAGACGTAATTACGTGTTTTACGCGGTAGAGACGATTCCCCGCGTTCCTGCGGACCACTATCCCGGTAAAAATTTTGGATAGAATAACGAAATGAATGCAGAATCGCTTCGAGCCGGTCGAGTGGCCCACTCGAAACGAAATACGATGTGGATGCGAGGATCTGCGCGCGAGAGAGAAAGATAGAAGCGAGAGAGAGAGAGAGAGAGAGAGAAATATAGAAGCGAGTGAGAGAAAGAGAGAGAAACATAGAAGCGAGAGAGAAAGAGAGAGAGAGAGAAATATAGAAGCAAGAGAGAAAGAGAGAGATAAATAAAAGCGAGAGAGAGAGAGAGCGAGTCTGTCCCCCAACCACCGCCGCCGCCCGCCCTCGGAACATTTTTCATTTAAAAGCATTTCATTTCGAAACGTTCGATATTTTGTCGTGCGTGTCTCGACTTTTCGAAATCCTCTCGCAAAAATCCGATCTATCGGGCTCGGGGTATTATTGTAGAAGAGAAAGACACAGAGAAAGGGAGAGAAAGACAGAGGGAGAGAGAGAGAGAGAGAGAGAGAGAGAGAGAAAGTGGTGAACGACAGAATTTAATTGAAACGCGAAGTTGTTTGTTCCTCCTCGGGTTCTTTCGAACTTTCCGAGTGTTTTTTTCTTTTTTGTTTCGTTTTTTTGCTCTTTTTGCACATTGTTCGTACGATTTTAGGTGGATAGTTACCTGATTCTGAGCGTTTTGTTCCGCCATTGCCTTCTCCTTCTGTTGCCTTTTGCACTTGTACCGGTGGTTTTGAAACCATATCTTCACCTGCAACGAAAAGCGACAGTTTAGTGACGTTGTTGTTTCGCTTTCTGTTTCGATACGACGGCTGTCGAAACAGATTATTATTTCATTACAGTTCGTACTTGCTACCTTGATTTTTTTTAGTCTCTGAGAGACAAATTACATGCTCGCTAAATACAGTAAATTCTCTGTAATTTTCCTTCAGCTACTAAAAAATTGTTTAATTTTGGGAGAGGAGATACGATTATTCGAGCCTTGCACATCGTTTTTACAGTTACCGATTGTCAATAATTGTAAAAACGAGGCGCCAACGCTCGAATAATCGCATCTTCTCTTCCCAAATTGTCCATTTTTGTCTACAAGCACAAAGATAAATTAGGGAGAATTTATTATAGCTTCCACTTTGCTCTTAAGTCTAACGGAACACTTGACATAACCTCGTAAACGCGTTCGACAATTAATTGTTGCACACGCATCGAAATCGTTACTGCATTTTCTTTACCAAAGATGCACAGAATCATTGTAAATACATGGAGTCCCACAAATGTCTCGCAATCCGCAAATGAAAGGTTCCTGGTGTCATTTGAAGCAACTTTTTCCTCGGCGAAAATGCGACCGCGGCTTTGTTTACGAGTTATTAACGACGAAACAGTGACCAATGAGAGGCGAGCTCGCCTGGCGCGCGGCGGAGCCAATGAGCGGAGCTTGGCTTCGCGCGCTCATTGGCTGCGCCGCGTCGCGGCAGCCGACCTCGCCTCTTTTCGGTCCTCGTATCACGCGAATAAATTACTTCCATTTCGCGAAACGTTTACAATCGTAGAAGTTTTGTTCAGAGCATAGTTACAGAGGTCAGATCGCCGTGCAAAATTCTAGACACTGGCGTAGGCATCGGCGGGTCTCCGTTACCGAAATTACGCGCAACGGATGACAGTCGAAATAAAAAATTCGCCGGGTTCTCAGATTGAACCGCGCAGAGGGCGTCCAATCGAATTTCCCTCTCTCTCTCTCTCCCTCACTCTCTCCCTCCATTTCTCCCGTTATGGTCGACCAAGCGTTTTCGTGCACGTGAACTGTCGTCAGGTAGGAACTCAAATATTTTTCCAAGAGGGGCGAGCGCAAGCCTTTTGTCGCGTGTATACGTTTCGAGCAACCTGGAACTATCCACGGCCTCCTAAATCCATAATCCACAGTTATTATAAGTCTGTTATTTCTTCGAGAGGGATTTAACGCCTCGTTCAGTTTCGCCCAAACGCTCGTAGGCCGATTTTTCTTTTTTTGCGACTCTTAACCTATCTCTTTTATTTTTTTGTCCTTGTTGATTCTCTGCTTTCGTCGCCCCTTCTGCATTTTTATCGATCTCAATGTGATCGTACGAAAATCTGCTCTTTCCGACGGACAATCGTCGTTCACGATTTGCGCGCAAGATTTTAAGTCTCGTTTCGTTTCGCTCGCAACGTTAAGGTTATTTTCTCGTCGCTTGTATGAGTTCTAATCGATTTTTAAAAAAACGGAATGAAGAGAGAGGGTTTTCAGTTTGTCATAATCTCGTCGTTGGAAACGAGAAACGGTTGAACCGTACGAAAACGATTCTCGATTATCGAACAATATTTTTTCCTTCGTAATTTTGTCGAGGCACCGTTTTTTTTGTACTATTTTTTTTTCATGCTACTGTGCAATATTTATCGTTCCACGGTAGATTTCAAGATTTCTGTGCAAGATACGCGTATATCACGTGCTCACGAAACACGTGTCAACGGAAATGTTGAGGTTAAATAGGACACTGTTCTTTCGTTGAGTAAAACTGTTTCCATGGCCGGATGAAGCAAGAACGTAGGATAATTGTATCGTCGCTGGACCGCGTATTTTATGCGTTTATAACAAAAACGACTAGGTTAAGTATTATTACGGACACCACAAATTGTACTGCGGCATTTTATAAACGTATAATAAAATCTAACATTTTATACTGTGTAATTTTATAAAAATGAATCTCATAACTTTTAATGCGTTTAATATTGATACAATTAATAGATACATAACCTCAGTGTATATGCATATATTGTGGTTTATTTACATTACGCTTTTTAACGAAATTTGTGCTTTCAGAGATGCGATATTTTGAGAATAGTAAATACATGCAAGTTAAGGGATAGTAGACATAGCTCGAGTTGTCAATTTATTGGCGTGAAAGGTCTTCTTTTCTCAGTCAAAGACTGAGATCTCAGGCACATAACCTTAATTGAGAAACCATAGCAATACCTATACTTATTCTAAGAAGAAACATCAGAAGCATATAAGGTTACTGGTCAACGGAAACAATCATTTTCTACTTAATCCTTGCAGCCGATACAGACAATTCTTATTTACAGAATCCACGGTCCGATCGGCTCGCACAATAGAGAAAACGCATTGTCGCGCGTCACGAAGATAAAGCGGCAAGGAAGGGCTCTTCAGAATATCTTCGTCGCGGATCCACAGAAGGATCTACTCGACGGCGTAAAAATTACTTCACTCCGAAAATACGTGATGTTGAAAGGGCGCGCTGTTTCCGCGACGCTCGATTGGCGGTGTATTTGATTAAATTGTCAAGAAAATGTCAAATATTTCCAAGAACAAGCAACAAACGTTTGCGCCGGCGAACCCGAGTGGGTTCTCGAGAAGAAATCCTCGGGGATCCGAGTGTAAGCAAAGGAAACCAAGATCGTTGAAGAAAACCCGCGAGTGTGTAACACTTTGCAGTGTTACTTCAGGAGAATAAACGTTACACGCTGAAGAATAGCCTCAAAGAACCTGCGGCTGGGAGCGCAGTGGCGTAAACCGCCTTTCACAATTTAGAAATCATTATATTCGAGGCTCCGGAACGCCGGGGCTTAGAAACAATGCGTTCTCAGGTTGTACGAAGACATTCCGCGTTGTTATTCCGTGGCGTTCGGCGCTGAGATAAATTGACACACAAACGTGAGATTCAAATTTATTTTGACTTATACAAAATTTATTTCGCTGCCTTAGACATTTTCTGAAATATTATGCAAGTTATTACGAATATTGTTAGGAAAATAGTGCTTTTACAGTCAAAATTCAACGGTTCAGAATTTTTTTTTAAATAATTCAACGAAATTAGTTGGATCCACGTAATGTAAGAACTTCTTTTGGAATTGTTGTTTGGAAGAAAATTGTTGAGCAACTCTTTTGCTTGTAATTCAGTCTCTTATTGATAAATAGACGTCCAGTAAGTAAAAAGTTAGCAAAATATGCTTAGCTCTGCAACGAAAATCTATTTTATATGTTCTACATGAGCAATTATATGAGCAATTATGCAAGCAAATACAAGCGATTTTGAGACTCCGGGAAAATACATAAAAACGAATGTAACTTCGTCGAACCTCGCAAAGTGAGTCTATACAATGTACCGGAATTAATAAAGCGCGTTCGATTGTTAAACTATAATTAATTTTTCTTCGGCAGGAGAATGCTATCCAGCATTTTGAAAACGATGGTCGACAGGCAGAGAACCGTGTTCCCTTTCTATACAGGGTAGCGAAAAGGAAAACGTGGTTTTATGAGGTTCCGTCGGTAGGAAGCAACGCTCGAGACCGCTTTTACGGCAATTGAACGCGATTAGGGAAGTCGGCCGTGAGGCGCGCGGGATCGAGATCGGCATCTGCTTATGACAGGAGCGCGTTATAATCCGTATTGTGCATAATGCGGTGTTCAGAGGGGCGCGAATCCTGATCGCGGCGCATTGTCGCCCGCGGCCGAAGACAATGGACCCCGTTCTGTCCGATTTAATCCTTAACGCGGATTTGCTAGCCGGAATATTACCGGCGGTGCTAACATCGCCACGTTTCGAGTGGCTAATACCTTTCACTACCAGAGGAATGGGACTTTTGAAATTTAAACAGCGCCTTTTTCAACGTTCAACGCGATTAATTCGACCGGAGATGTTCCGCGCAGGGACTAAACATTTTACTACGTTTGGCAGATCGATGTTAATGAATGTTAATAATTGTTTTTATCGATGGTCTAAATAATTACAGTAAGTTCTCTCAGATTGTCTCCTTTAGTTTGTAAACAGAAGCGGACAATTTGGTGATACGCTTATAGTAAATTTTCCCTAATTGAAGATAAAACTTTGTTTCTGTTTATAGGAAAATATTCTGTTCGATGATGAACGATTTGATTCGACAATGATGCTGCACTCTTGTTTTGTTCCTTGACATAGTACAACGTTGCCGCTAACCTCGGAAACAGACTAATTCATCCTGATAGAAATGAACAACATTATTGAAACTTGTTTCTATTAAATCACATTATTTTAAATTATTATTTTTATTATTATTTTAAATTATTACTGTTTCAAATTAATTAGTTTAAATTCACATTATTTTCAACCTTTCAGGGCTATCAAAAGAAGAAACACATTTACATCGTGTTTGTTGCAACTCTTTCCTTATTATAAAAGCAATCCGCGGCTTCGTTTACGAGTTATTAACGAAAACCAGTGGCCAATAAGGGACGAGCCCGGCCGTCGCTCCTCGCGGCCAATGGCGCGTCGTGCTGGCCGTCTGACTTAGCGGCAGGGCGGGGCGTCAGCCGAGCTCGCCTCTCATTGGTCATCGTTTTCCCTTAATAACTCGTAAACGAAACCTCCGATCGCATTTTCGCTGAGGAAAAAGTTGTTTCAAATCACCCGAGGAACCTCCCGTTACCGGATTTCGAGACACTTTCGTGACACCCTGTAGTTCGAGGAAGATCTCGAGGGAAACGGAAGATGTAGCAGGAAATCCTGTCGGATTCCGGGGTCAGATAGGCGATTGGTATTCGAGCGGCGCGCGCGCGCGCGAGGCGGCGACCGCGAAGGGTGAAGAAAGAATTTTCGAGGGTGGCCGATCCCGCTAATATTCAAAGAATTAGACAGACGGTGTCGGGCACTCGAGACACGGTCCGCTGCACGGGGACCCCTTAAAGTGCTTTCGTTGCATTCTCGGCGCGCATAACATCGACAATGGGGGCCGCGGAGGGCT